CTAAATGGGTAACCCTTGACATAGTTGTAAGACATATGAGACGTTATAGCAGTTAAATCTAGGAGAACGCTAATCAAGTTGATACCTTCGCCGGATTTGTTATTTAACAATTTCTGCACTTGTGGCACTTTAACCAAAATAGAACCCGCGATAATTCCATAGCCGAGACATTTGCTGAGAAGTTGTTTAAAGCAGATAACTAAATATGGAAACAAAATGTAATTTAATTGAACAGTTGGTGCACATAAATGCTTGAAAAAATTCTTACCATTGAGGAAGTCAAAATCATCCACATAACCGTGAATACATTTATCATTAACGAAATACCTTAAGCCAGATTTTACAAGTTGAGACATTTTGCATTAGTTTCGGCAACGACTTCAGTGGTAATCAGTTCTTCGGGATAGGATTGAGAAATGCTTTGTGTACTGTACTCCGGCGAGACTAGATTGCGCAAAGTTCAATTATTTTAACTAATCAAATGGTGAATTTTTTCTCCCAATCCTAGATAGTATGCGTATCTATTAATCCATTAAGCCATTAAATTTAGATAACACGAAAACCACCCCAATAGGACACGTAATTTGACAATTAGATTAGCGCTGCTTGAAGATTAAGAAATGACATTTGAATCAGGTGGCTATATTGAAATGGCAAAGCACACATTAAGCCGGAGCTCCATACCATTTTTTTCAAGCGTTGTGGCACAGGGGTCAAATTTCAGATTACCTTATGAAAACGGCGTAACAGACTGCAATCTTCTATGATATCTTCGACTTTATTAGTATCTATTTAGGGTGTTAAATGAAGAAAAAAAAATTTCTTTTGAGTCTCTATAGAGGCTTCTGGCCTTTGTCCCTTTGCGGCACGCCTTAACCGACTGCAATCGGCACCAAAATTTATATGTGATATATAGATAATCTACGTTCTTTGGCATTCGATCGGTCTTGAATGTAAATGCAGTGGTGTGGAACTCCAGCTTAAAACAATTTGTATTGACAAATTTTTAAGTGGCAACCACATTTCTTATCACTCGAAATATTTATTTTTTTGCAGCTGTCACAGTCACTAAAACATCCATTATTTACCATAAATAAAGTTGATTTTATATGCGATTTGTATCATTAAACGATAGTTACTGCGTTTCTATTTGATTATTTAGTTTTGTTTGAACCGAAATATTCTTTAGATTGACTAAAAATGTCAGAAAACATTGAAGCAAGCGGATCGCAACAAGCAACAAGCGAAAATACAGAACAAACAAATGGAGGTGGCGATTGTAGAAAAATTGCTTTAATAACCGGCATTACTGGACAGGTAAGTAATCTCTTTAAACTCAGCTACATATATGAAGCAGGACAGTGTCCAAAGGCATTAGAAAAGTAGCTAAAATTGCTGGATCACATAAGTTTTCTAAATAATTGAATTCGGTAATGAAAATGGTGATGCATGATTCATGCTACTTCGTAGATAAAGTAAACATAAGACATGCTGGCATGTTTTGCCTTCCAGTTTAAATCATGATAAAAATATTGTGATTCAAATTGCTTTGAACACTTGGCTACTTAGTTATGGGTCGTAAAATAAGTAAGGAGCATGTCAGTAAGAACAATTAATTTCTACATAATGTAATTCAAAGCGAGTTTAAGCAAATAGTGCTTTGCTACGAGCTTGAAACCGTGTATATAAATAAATAAATCAATAAATAAATATGTATAATGTCTTTCACTTAAGGACGGCTCCTATTTAGCTGAATTCCTTTTGAAGAAAAACTATGAAGTTCATGGTATAATACGGCGTGCAAGTACATTCAATACATCGCGTATTGAGCATCTCTATGCCGACCCGGTAGCACATAAGGGTGGCAAAATGAAACTGCATTATGGTGACATGACAGACAGCAGTAGCTTAGTGAAGATTATCAATATGGTAAAGCCTACGGAAATTTATAATTTAGCTGCACAATCGCATGTGAAAGTATCATTCGATTTGAGCGAATATACAGCCGAAGTTGATGCTGTTGGCACGCTGCGCATACTGGATGCCGTACGCACATGCGGTATGGGGAAAACTGTACGTTTCTTCTGAGTTGTACGGCAAGGTGGTTGAGACGCCACAAAATGAGCAAACACCTTTTTACCCACGTTCGCCATACGGTAGGTAGATATAATACAATGCAATATTTTGTTTTTTTTTATAAATGTCATGCTATTTTTTCATACTCTCTTCAGCCTGCGCGAAAATGTATGGTTTTTGGATTGTGATTAACTATCGCGAAGCATACGATATGTTTGCCTGCAACGGTATTTTATTCAATCATGAATCACCGCGTCGAGGTGAAAATTTTGTTACACGCAAAATAACTCGTTCAGTTGCGAAAATCTTTCACGGCCAACTGGAATCCTTCGAATTAGGTAATCTTGATTCGAAGCGTGATTGGGGCCACGCCATGGACTACGTAGAGGCTATGTGGATGATGCTACAATGTGAGAAACCAGCTGACTTTGTTATCGCCACTGGCGAAACGCATAGCGTACGAGAATTTGTGGAAGAATCCTTTAAATTTATAGGACGGGAAATTGTTTGGCAGGGTGAAGGAATTAATGAAGTGGGCATCGAGATCGATACCGGAGTTGTGCGTGTGCGCATTAATCGCAAATACTTCCGTCCAACAGAAGTGGATCTATTGCAAGGTGATGCGAGTAAAGCCCGTCGGGAACTTAATTGGGCGCCAAAAGTTACATTTAAGGAATTGGTTAAAGATATGATGGTTGCCGATGTTGAACTTATGAAAAAGAATCCAATTGCCTAAGTAACGATTTTTATATTAGAGTGATTTTTTTAGTGACTTTGGCGACAATGCAGGCGCCTTTTTTTAACAAAGCACAACTATATGTAGTTAAGAGATGTTAAGAGGCGTAGAACAATGCAATATTATAGATCATAGAGCTGTATGTAGTATGTAGTTTTTTTATATAGTTACTCCACCATGACAGTGCTGCATTTTATTTTCGTTAGTCGTACGTATGTATAATTTGTAATTATACTTTTATTGTTATAAAAATTAATGTTTTTTATCTTTTGCATACCAAAGCAAATTATAAATGTATTATGCAATAAATGTGCTTCAACACACGCTATTGAAATAATTTGTTTTCGTATATTAAAAAAAAGTAAAGAAAATTTATAACAAAAAAGCGCAGGTGATAGAAATTGATCCAAAAAACGCCGGCAAAGCACGACCTTTTAGCAATTTGGAAGCAAGAACAACAATATAGCAATTAAAAGTTTTCGATATTTGTGATCAATTTTATTATATTTAAGTATTTGAGCTATTTCTTAATGATAATTGCGGTAAAAATATGTTTTTCCACTCATCATTCTTCTAAATCTGGCAAAACCGAAATACGAGAGTTATGTGGGGACAAACATACTTCCAAACAATTTTCGACACGAAAAAAAGCGCTAGTTTTTTTTTGAACATCTTTGATGGCTGTTGGTTGACCACATTTTTTTTTTTCAATGTAACAAGTCATATGCTTAGCATTTTGTAACTGAATTAATTTTGTAAACATAGATGTTTGCAAAAAAAAAGTTAAGTTTAGTAACTGATCTTTTAAGTTTCCTGTTTTTTGCCAAAAGGGTTTATTTTCGACAGCAAACTGGGGCTGGTTGAAGATGGTTCTTCTCTATGAAGGGAAAAACCAAGAATATTATTAGCATTTGAACTACAAAAACTGTTAAAGCGATTACTCACAATTTAGTCAAACGCTCGATTTCAGCATTTTCATTATCGCTTCCCTTTGTCGCTGCTTTATTGCCAATATGGTTGCCGCTCGCTTCCCGAATGCCAGCGTTTTTTAGTTGTTCGATAAGTTTCATGCGAAATTCCACCTAACTGCCATCCCTAAATTGGCGCGTCAAGCGCCAAGCAACTGTCAAAAATCCTCATGCCCATACAATTTGTATGAAGCATCCCACAATAACGCGGCGCTAACGCCGAGCAAATGGAATTTTCATTTTTGACAGGGCGTTACGTGCTGAAGTTGGATGCAGAAGACGAAGAGAAAGAGAACGGACAAAGAAGTGAAAAAGGAAACGAGAATAAATACGAGAGGACATGAGAAAACGTCAAAATTGACGACGCGTTGATTTGGGTATAGCCCGCGATGACACTCGTTGACAATGTATAACGCAACGCTTAGCGCTCCAATTTAGGGACGGCAGTTATGCGGCACAATAGGATTTTCAGCGCGTATTTGTGCTTGCAGCTTACGTATGGTCTCCTGGTAAGTGTGCCCGTACCATTCAATTTCCTCCGGCGTATACTAAAACAAAATTTTGATTACTGATTGAAATTTAATATTCTGGGTCTTTACTTACCGAGTCCAAATATCATTTATATTCTTTGAGTATACGCTCACGCTCGGTTGGATTGCCTGCCCAATTGGGACAACCATTCTTTAGTTCGAGTAAAATTTTTCGCTTAATCGCTAGGGCAAGTGTGGAACGCAAATCACACGCAAGATTCTAAAATCAATAGAAATTTCAAATGAAATCAATTAACTCAAAGCACTGCTGAAGTATAATGCAATCGTTTTAATACACACCTTTAGTAATAGTGATCAAAACCGCGAAAATCGTGTATTTGATCAATGGTACGATCAGTTACCACCATTGAAATATACTCGTTCAACACTTGACTGTGCACCACCGAGCGCCTTAGCGTTGGTATCCAAAAATGTGGTACACGCCTTTTTTGCGGATGGCGCTTTTGGAAACCCTTGATGACAGCTTCTCCTCCCCAGATGCCATCATTTGCTTCGGGGGGATCAATTAATGGTATAGGTATACCTTGCACAGGTCTCACTACACCTGTTAATTCATCACGTTCAAATCTTTCAGTTTTTGGCACATAATGGACTGCAGCAGGTGTCGTTAACTTCCATTCGCGCCAGAATTTCTTATAGGCTTCAGGCAGCTGTGCACCAAGCCCTTTATCGAAACGGGTTAAACGTTTGAAGCCGTGAAGCAATTGGGGTCCCTACAAATTCTCAGTAAGATTACTAATTATGAATTTTGCATAAAAAAGTTCGATACAAAACTAAAACGGAAAAAGCACTCTACACCAGAGCGAATCTAGTCAACACGGATGGGGCAAACAATTGACTTTATTTCTTTTTGTATTGCGTCACAATGCCACGGATGGCGTTGTACCTTACCTGCGGTGTGGCGTGTGCCATGCCTAATTTTGAAAATTACGGCGGTGAATTTTCTTCTTTTTTCGGTAATTCTCTAGGGTGGGGTAACAACCCCTAAAAAGGTGCGACGCGTTTCGGCCCCCCTAATAACAATCCGGAGGGAGGGTAGATAATATTATTAACCATTTAAAAGTTATGAACAAAAAACTTTTGTTAAATTTCGTTGTTTTCTATGAGCAATTACCACGTCAAAAATGCACTAAATCACCAGTTTCCACTTTTAAAACACTA